AAATGTTGGTTTATGGTCACGATTTGTTAGGGGACAAAATGCTCATAAAATATGGGAAGTCGCTTATACAGAGGACCATGCGTAGGGCAATCGTTTGCTCTAGCTTGTGTGAGGTTTACTATTAGCACAATAGAGTTTTCCACGGACCATTTTTAAGGAGAAAATAAGGAATGCCGTCTGACGCTGGGGCTTTTCGGCTAGGGAGACGGTGAAGACACGAGTTAAGCTTAGACGGGGTTGTTACAAAGCAATTCAAAATCAAGGGTGGTAGAGGATACTTCCGTCCTACAAAAACAGCGGTCTGTATTACAATTTCGTCATCCTGAGGGGCTGGCTGCACTTTGTGTACTTCCGCCATGGAATGGAGACCTAGAGATCATGAACTCCACAGCAGAGGTAGATCGTCCACTAGATGGCCAGACGATCTGAAGCAAATTCACACGAGACTATATAGCTATTTGATGATGATGATGATGTGTGGTTTGTTTATTTCCGACTTTTTTCTGTTCGTTGGACACTATTTGTGTCATGTCGTTCCTCACAGTTTTATGCTAATTGATGTTTTAATAAACCATATGTATTTATAGTGTCACTCAAATAAATTTTAAGTATTTGAGAAGCGATTGAAACTCACAAACTGAAATACCTGTAGGGCGTATAAATATGAGTCTTCGATCTCATGATTCAAACAACTATTTCTCGTTGCTAGTTTACGCATGCGTCTACAACAGCTAAAACCTACTTCGACCATATTTTTCTAAAATGACAAGTTACAGAATAATATACCACAAACATTGTGAGCCTTTCATTCCTTGTGACATTTATTCGCGTCTCCCGAAATATGTTGGGTGGTTGTTTAAATCTCCGTGGATCTTTGATGAAAATATGATCCCAATGCGCGTTTCGCGTTTCGTTAGTATTTCAGTCATTACTTTTTAGGACCAAGTCTATAATTCATAAGTAGCAGATAGGTGAATAGGATATAACTTATATCATATATACAAGTTAGCAACAAGTGTAGATCAATTACTTCAATCAATCGACTTACATACGGTGTACATTATTAGAGTAGCTAAACGCCTAATGGTAGACTGCGTCATACTTATTCAAAAGAAATATTTCTTAATACAAAATACAATTTTGCAATTTCAGTGGAGCAATAAAAAATAAATCAAAGCCCAGCCTGGCCTCTGCAAAGTTTCTAATTTTGCATTCGTCAAATTAATAGCTTTTCGAAAGTTGCAACTCTTGAGTTACAGGTTTATCTAAGAAAAGGTGCTAAACAGTGACAAAATAAATGCAAATATTGGCTGCTAAAGACTGACATCCGGGAACATCGGCAGTTTCAATAATAGAATTATAATCTATATATAATAATAATATAGTAAGAATAGAAATCGAACTTGTTATTGAACAGTATAATAAAAAATGCGTTACATATTAATGCAAAATATAAAAATTCTCTGAACCATGGGTCAAAATGTGATAGAACAGGCGTGCAGCTTAAACCCACGTAAAATTAGTATTTATATGTATACTTGTGTAATTGTTAGAATAATAGTTGTTTTCCTTGATTGATTACTTAATTGGTGCTGATTTGTTCATGCTAAACGGTCGCAATCTAAACAACTTAAATTTTGGGTGGAAAATGGGACCCTTAAAGATTTATTTTATGCTTTATGGCTTGGCTCTGATTAGCAACAGGGCTTCAGCATCACAAGATGAGCATGGAGAGGTGAGTATTCCATACTTTAAGACAATTTTAGTTGGCTGATTTGACCTCAGATTCCCCCTCGCTCCTGACTGTTAAGGACGGAAATTCCCTAGGCTCTAAAGCTTCAGTGGGTATGGAGAGACTGTTAACAGGAGACGTTTGTCAGGAGTTGTTTGATTGTGCTGAAACTCCCTTTGGACACGAGTCACAAGCTGTAACGAACGAGTCAAAAAAGCGAGGCAAGCGCGTTGCCAAATCACAAGGAGCTCGAAAGAAGCCGCAACAAAGCAAGCAAAAGTAAGATATGATTTCTTTAAAATGTCTTACTTTAAGACAAGTTCTTAGGAAAAAAGTCAGACCGGGACCCCCAAAACCCCGACCAAAGCCCAGACCAAGACCCCATCCAGTTGTGCCGCATCCGCCGAAGCCGAACCCCGCTGCAGAACCAGTACTGGACATAGCCAATGTAACGATAGAAAATCTGGAACAGTTGATCATAAACTTAATAATGTGCATTTGTCTTCAGATTCCAGTAGCTATTTTGGAAGCAGTACAAAAGATGTTGGACAGTTTGCCCCAGAACGGCCCCGTGAAGGTTCCGTGGCCCTATAACATAATTTGCTAGAAGTCAGGAATTTCAATGGAAGATTTTTAATTATTGGCAACTGAATATACAAGATTTTGCATGCCTTCAAAACGCAGTTTTGTATGTGTTTCCTGTTAAAATTAAAAATTTCCCACAATAAAAGAAAGGCTGGAAGCCAACAAGAAATATTTGTGTTTTAAAATCTTCCTATAATTGCAGTTTTGCTTACTGATTCTGGGTCCTTTATTTATAAACACAAGTATATTTCATTTACTGTAACATTTTATTTAAGATATTTCCTTAACCACAAGAATTTTTTTTCTTTGCGCGAAAAATAAAAGTGATGGCTGTTGCTGGTTTTTTCAGGATACCATATATTAATTGAACTTCTGTGACTAATTATTGTTAGACGATGATTTTTTTTTTGCTGAGCTTGATGATATCTTTAGAAGCATAAAGAAGAATGATGTCACGGCAGTTATGGGAGATTTCGACGTAAAAGTAGGCAAAGGCAAGGTGGAAGCACACGACCGGAGTTTGGGCCTGGGAGAAAGGAATAGTACGGGGGATCGAATGGTAGAGTTCTGTCAAGTTAGAGATGTTGTGTTAACAAATACTTTGTTTGAACTACCAGATCGTAGATTCGACACCTGGAAATTCCATGCGGATAACAAAGGAAATAGAGTTAGAAACCAAATAGTTTATATCCTCATGAACAATCGCTTTAAGAACTTAGTCAAAGAAGCAAAAACCTACCCAGGTACTTATCAGGTTTCACTTATAGGGACAATTTCTGTATAAAATCAACTTTTTAAAACACCGTTTGCAATTACGCCATTTAGTGGTCAATACAAAAGTTTCAAGGTAATTTCCAGCAAGTTCTTTTCGTCAAGTTTGTTATCAATTTTTTTTCAGATTACTCTACAACACATACTTTCCAATATACAGCCGCTTACCATCCTTATTGTGACACCCGGTATACCTTGTAGACCAGTGTAATCAGAACAATATTCTTATAAAAAGCCATAAATCAATGTTTAAACTTCTGAAAGACTGTCAAAACTGCTTACATTCGATAACATTTAATTAAGCGAAGTACGATTTTAAGATGTTAAACATGTCTAGCCTTAGCGCTCATCCTAACCAACTTGAGTCCATTTAACAACATTAGACTGAAGAGATTTAATCCTACAAACCTAACTACTAGATTTAAGTAAAACGCTTTGAAAACCCGGTAGTCAAAAACAATTAATTAAATAATTATGGCCAATACCCTACATGTTGAATTGTATGTATGCAGTTTCTTAAAATTGTATGTCAAACAAAATTTATGAATACCTTCGGGTAGTCATGTCCAAAACGAACTTGATGTGAATAATAAACAAATAAATGACATTCCACTAACTTATTTCCAAAAATACAGTTTTTGGACAATATTATAATATTTTATATTGATAATAATTGAATTAGCCTTCAAAAAGTATATTAAGTTTAGGTTGAATAGAATAAATGCCAATTGTCAAAAGGATGATGCTTGCGAAATAATTGTATAAAACTTTTAAACTCACTGTAAGTTCGCTTTTTTAAGAAGGAAGGGGTTATAAAGGCCGTGACTTGTTGGTCAGCAAAGTAAATGCTTAGTTGCACCAATTCAGCAGTGAGTTTATAAGTACCAGTGTAATGCTAACACAAGCTAGTTACCAGTACACCATTGCTGTAACTCGTCGCGTTGAAACTAAAACCTTTTTTAAAAGGCAATCTCTTGATTGAATAGTTTAACTAGGGATCATTATATTAATATCGGTCATTATATAATATCTGTGTTATTTTGTAAAAAACTCCAATTAAAAAAAAATTGTGCTAATCCGCCAGTTACTTTTCTGTTCATCCAGTTTAACTGAAACTTTAATTTGTTTTTTGTTTTATACTTAATGCGAGTATACTGCTTTCTTTTAAGACTGCCATCATAATCACAGATTTTATGTTGGTTGATTTTTTAATGGTATTTTACTGGTCCATGCTCTGTTATATTCTACATTGTGAGTTTTTTGAACTAGGTATTATAAAGCTATATTTTAATAATGGTTTAAAAAAATATATAAAGTTTTGGGGAAGTAAGAGGTAAACGATAAGTAGATTTATTCAGGCGCTAAGACACATATGCCCTTGTGTAGTACATATGTCTTAGCCTAGCTTATTCTAAAATTAATTCCTATTCCTAACATTCGTATAAGCTAATCAGCAATAAAAAAAAATAAAAAAAGTTCTTGGCTTACAAAACAAACATGTCATAGTCGTTAGTTCAGTTGCGTTTGTAGATGTTCTAGTAAAGTATCTGTTGGGGTACGAACTCGGGAGTATTTTGTCTGTCTTGTTAGGCAAAGGGGATTCAGTATGGTCCAGTTGTGGGGGTTGTTTGTCCATTTTGTTTGTAAATGTATTAGTCTTTCCGAAATTGTTGTCATGTTTGTGCGTTCGTATAGTAGTTGGTTCAAAAATTACCATTTTTGAATTTCAACTTTACCTACGAATAGATCATAACAGTGACAAAACAAATTAAAATATTAGTTCCATTCAATGACAAAAATGTTATGGCTATTCTAGCCTCATATCTGGAAAAATTGATAATTTCAATAATAGGCTGGATGGCAAACCACAACGGTTTGACCTTGTTATTGGACAAAAGGATGAAAAAAAATATTACTTAATAATGTGCAATATAATATATAAAAATATCTGAACTATGGGTCAAAAATTGGTAAAGCAGCGCTATAATGCGTGCCCACTTCAAAAGTAGATACTGTTTATATCCATATCTGCGTAATTATTAGAATAATAGTTATTTTCTAAGATTCATTACTCAATTGGTGCTGATTTGTTCACGCTGAACGGTCGCAATCGCCATAACCCGATTTTTGGGTGGAAAATGGGACCCTTTAAGATTGATATCATGCTTTGTGTGTTGGCCCTTTATATCAGCAGGGCTGCAACCTCACAACATCCACCTGCAGAGGTAAGTGCTAGAATCTTTTGACAGTTTTATTCGGCTGATTTGACTTCAGATGCCACCGCTCCTAATTGTTAAAGACGACAATGTGGACAATTTAATAGGATCGAAAGCTTCAGCAAGTACGGGGGGACTGTTAAGAGGAGATGTTTGTCAAGAATTGTATGCGTCTACTAAAACCTCGTTTGGACAAAAAGCTCGAGCTGGACTAAGCCAATCAAAAAATCGAGGCAGACGCAATGCGAAATCAGCACAAATTCGGCGAATGCAGCTTTAAAAGAAGCGAAAGTAAGATATGATTTCTTCAAAATGTGTGGCTTTAAGACCAGTTTTTAGTAGAAAAGTCAGACCAGGACCCCCACGACCCCGACCTAGGCCCAGACCAAGACCCCATCCAGTTGTGCCAAATCCACCTAAACCGGGCCCAACTGCAGAACAAGTACGGGACATAGCCAATGTAAAGATGGAAAAGCCAGAGGAGTTCATTAACGTCATTTACTATTGAGTTTCAGATTTCAATTTCAATTGTGGAAGCAATACGAAAGATGTTGGACAGTTTGCTCAAGAAGCGCCCCGTCCCAGTCCTATGGCCCTATGATTTTATTAGCTAGAAGCTCGGAGTTTTAGCGGAAATCTTACTGCGAAATGTCAAAATATACAGGATATTGCATGTCTTTAAAACAATGTTTTTATCTGTTTTCCTTTCATGTTTAGATTTTTAACGCCAGCTACAATGAAAACAACGCCGCAGGTCAGGTAATATCTGTTCTTGTTTGACCCTCATAATTTATAATTATCTTATCGGATTTTACTGTTGAGTTTTCCTTTCCCTGGTCCTTTTTTAACTTAGTCATGATACGACTTTCACTGAAGCCCTAACGTGTAAGAAGAATGGAAAAGCTCGTAGGAGATTGATCTTCTGTTAGAGAATGATCAATGTTCCACGTGCGGATTTATTAATGACAAAAAAGATTCGATCGATTTTCAACTGTCAACATCTTATATATATATTTTTTTTGAGCTCGTCTATAATTTACAATCTATCTAACGATATTGAGTAAATATTATGGTAAATAATAATAACAGTTAAGCTATATATTACACTAATTGACATGCACAAGATGTTGCCCATCAGCAACACTTTCTAAGTTTTCGGTAGGTATCCCTACATTGTCCTGGAGCATGGAGGATTGCATTCTATTGGAATCTAACCGGTAATTCCAACGGATCGTATCGTTTGAGGCGTCTTGTGGTGTTGCTTCTGAGCAGGTTGGCAACGAGTGCGTTGGATTGCTTTCCGAGTCTACTACGATATTTTATACTGACTTTCTTGATTCCTTCTTGTATTGAGGGTACTTGAAGGTCTTGTTGGATGACCCAATTTGGCACAAACCAAGGGGCTTTGGTGATTTGTCTCAAGACTTTTGATTGGAATCTTTCTAGTATTCCAATGTTAGATTTG